ACCTCTTTCGCGGTACTAGACGCTTACAAAACAAAGTCTAATTCGTCATGGCTGTCGACACAGGTTCAGTTTTGTATAGAGCTCTGAAGATATCAAGTTAATTGAATATGACTATTAGGCTGAACAGCCAGGACTCTGTCACAAATAAAGACTTCGTCACGCAACTCTGCACAGGACTGCTCGCTCAACTCTCCGTCAGCTCTGCGCCAAATGAAGTCAATTCGTTGGAGCGCAAAGAGGTGAAAGCAAAACTGAACGGTGACACCAACCAACGAATTGACTTGTTTTGGCGCAGAGCTCTGCGTGTGCCACAGACTGACGGATAGTTGTGCGAGCAGTCCTGTGCAGAGTTGCGTGACGAAGTCTTTATTTGTGACAGAGTACTGGCTGTTCAGCCTAATAGTAATATTCAATAAACAGGATATCTTCAGAGCTCTATGCAAAACTGAACCCGTGACGCCAACCATCAGCATTGACTTGTTTTGTACTTATAGCTTTATTTACAATGGTCTAACCAAAATAAGCGTGACGCCAACTAAGGAATTGATTTGTTTCGGCGCAGAGCTATTGACTGCAAGCTTGAAACCGACGTAACCCTATCTGTCAGAGCAGCAATAGCCAGCTCTGCGGTCCCCTGGTACGTTACAAAGCCTAGTAGTCACATTGAACTGGCTTAAAATCCCCGAAGCTCTACACAAAACGGAACCTGTGTCGCCAGCCATGACGAATTGACTTGTTTTGAGCGTAGAGCGCAAAGAGGTGAAAGTAAAACTGAACCGCGACGCCAACTAACGAATTGACTTTATTTGGCGCAGAGCTCTTCGTGTGTCACAGACTGACGGAGAGTTGAGCGAGCAGTCCTGTGCAGAGTTGCGTGACGAAGTCTTAATTTGTGACAGAGTACTGGCTGTTCAGCCTAATAGTCATATTCAATAAACATGATATCTTCAGAGCTCTATACAAAACTGAACCCGTGCGGCAACCACCAGCATTGACTTGTTTTGTACTTATAGCTTTATTCAAATAGGGTCTAACCAAAACAAAGCTATGACGCAAACCAATGAATTGAGCTGTTTCGGCGCAGAGCTATTGACTGCAAGCTTGAAACCGACGGAGGCCGACTGTCAGAGCAGCAATACCACCTCTGCGGGCCGCTGGTACGTTACAAAGTCTAGTAGTCACATTGAACTGGCTTAAAATCCCCGGAGCTCTACACAAAACTGAACCTGTGTCGCCAGCCATGACGAATTGACTTGTTTTGAGCGTAGAGCGCAAAGAGGTGAAAGTAAAACTGAACGGTGACGCCAACCAACGAATTGACTTCATTTGACGCAGAGCTCTCCGTGTGTCAGACTGATGGAGAGTTGAGCGAGCAGTCCTGTGCAGAGTTGCGTGACGAAGTCTTAATTTGTGACAGAGTACTGGCTGTTCAGCCTAATAGTCATATTTAATTAACTTGATATCCTCAGAGCCCTATACAAAACTGAACCTGTGTCGACAGCCATGACGAATTGACTTGTTTTGAGCGCAGACCGCAAAGAGGTGAAAGTAAAACTGAACGGTGACGCCAACCAACGAATTGACTTCATTTGGCGCAGAGCTCTCCGTGTGTCACAGACTGATGGAGAGTTGAGCGAGCAGTCCTGTGCAGAGTTGCGTGACGAAGTCTTAATTTGTGACAGAGTACTGGCTGTTCAGCCTAATAGTCATATTGAATTAACTTGATATCTACAGAGCTCTATAGAAAACTGAACCCGTGACGCCAACCAACGAATTGGCTTGTTTTGGCGCAGAGCTCTGCGGGGGTATCGCGGAGGGCTGTACGAGCAACCTCCATGGAGGAGCTCTTCAGAGCTGAGGGCTGAACGAGCAACCTCCATGGAGGAGCTCTGCAGAGCTCCTCCATGGAGCTAGCTCGTGCAGCCCCTTCTCCCCAGTCTGCGCACTGTGATTGGCAGGCGTGGTGCCATTTTGTCTGCTGTGAACGCACCATTGGCTTTCTAAACAACGTGGCATGGGAACCTCCCCCAGCAGTCTTTATCAGTCGGCATACTGAGCTTAGTATATCAGGTCTTTGGTAAACACACTTACAAATGGGACATAGTCAGATTGTCTACTTGTTTGTTACCCTGGAAGGGAAAATTAACTTTGGATCTTTCGATCTAACTCTTTGATGTAATCATGTTCATATCTTAGTGGAATTCTTATGGGATTGGCCTCTTTAAGGGGTCAGCGATTAAGACTTTTGTTTTTGTTTATGTGGTGTTGGCATCTATATTGCCGTGGGGAGGTTAGATCAAGCACGGGTTATACTTGTGTTTGTTTAAAATGTTGACGGCTTTACTTGATGGCTATATTGTAGCACCTGGTTCTACAACTTTGCAAGTTTGTACCCAACCAGTTTCTCGTGACTTTAATAATTAAGCCTAAGTCTTTTTAAAACATTCACTTTGGTATAAAGAAGAATGTACATGTATACTACATCAACTGGTGCACAATATCTTAGATATATGTAGCATATGAAAGATGAAATCACAGTATACAAGATTTGCATTTGTACTGATAGCATTTTAATAGCCTCGGTTCATACAAGGTCAAGGGAATGCACACAGGTAGTAAACATCACAAATGCAGATTTATCAGTTATAATACCACTTCGTGTCGAGGAACATTGACTAGGCTGGTTCTTGGGATTGACAAGAGGCATATTACTTAAACATAGAGATGGTGCATGGTTAGAACAGACAGAGGAATGGCACGTAAAGCATTGCAGAACTTCCACGAACAATGCGTAAAACCTTCTCTTTCTACACCTTCACGTTATTCCGTTCGTCGTTAACGTTTTCATACCACAGTCTCTTTTCCTGTTAAATACATAACGCATGTGTGGATGAAGACTTAGACTGGTGAATGTGGTCCAAGAATAGAATATTTTGTCGGTCAGACAAAAGGATGCCTGTAATACACAGATTACATGCGGTTACAATCTTTCTCAGAACTTATGCATCGAATGTGATACACGCACATGTACGTAGTTTTTGCTAACAGGCTCCATAGTTGTCTCAATGGTTGAGTTTCCTCGTTGACGTACACCTAATCAAGTCATTTCCTTCAGTGGTCCCAACACACAATACGGAAGAAAGCAGCAGGTAGCAACATAGGGTACACAGTACATTTACAATTCCCAACAGTTTACATCGCTTAGAAGCACTTGCGGTGGACAATGGCGGGGCCGGCCTCGTCGTACTCGGACTTCTTGATCCACATAGCTGCGAAGGTGGACAGGGAAGCCAAGATGGAGCCACCGATCCAGCAGGAGTACTTCCTCTCTGGAGGAGCGATGATCTTGATCTTCATGGTTGTGGGAGCCAGAGCCACCATCTCCTTCTGCATACGGTCACCGATGCCAGGGAACATGGTGGTGCCACCGGACAGGACGTTGTTGGCGTACAGGTCCTTACGGACGTCGATGTCGCACTTCATGATGCTGTTGTAGACGGTCTCATGAACACCAGCAGACTCCATACCTGATTGAGACAACCAAAACTGTTAAAATAGTTGCAATAAGGTTGATGACGAAAATACATTTATGAACGCAACCTAAAATGTACACAAAGAGATCTGATGTGTATTCTTAGACGTACCAAGGAAGGAAGGCTGGAAGAGAGCCTCAGCGCAGCGGAACCTCTCGTTGCCAATGGTGATGACCTGTCCATCAGGCAGCTCGTAGCTCTTCTCCAGGGAGGTGGAGGTAGCTGCCGTCAACATCTCCTGCTCGAAGTCCAGGGCGACGTAGCCGAGCTTCTCCTTGATGTCACGGACAATCTCACGCTCAGCTGCATATCAAGAAAACGTCCTGGTTAGATCACAAGGCAACGCAAAGTTATTCTACATTACCTGGAAATTTTTGGTAACGCCGACGAAATATTGAAATCGATATCACCATGGGAAAAATAAGCTAGAGACGATGAAAAGAAGCTTACCGGTGGTGACGAAGGCGTAGCCACGGTCGCACATGACCCTCATCAGGTAGTTGGTCAGCTCACGGCCGGCCAGGTCCAGACGAAGGATGGCGTGGGGCATGGCGTAACCCTCGTAGATGGGCACAGTGTGGGAGACACCATCGCCGGAGTCCAGCACGATACCAGTCGTACGACCGGAAGCGTACAGGCACAGGACAGCTTGGATGCACACGTACATGGCGGGAGAGTTGAAGGTCTCGAACATGATCTGGTGGAGTAATGTGGAGAAACAATTTTAAACCATGAACATCAATACATGTACATCTAACCAGACATCTGTCCAAGGAATGTTTTTCAACAAAATCATTTAAGACCATGAACCATTGCCAGTTCTCCTGAATCACATGCATATGATATTATATTCACCTGCGTCATCTTTTCCCTGTTGGCCTTGGGGTTGAGGGGAGCCTCTGTCAGAAGGCAGGGGTTCTCCTCGGGGGCGATACGCAGCTCGTTGTAGAAGGTGTGGTGCCAGACCTTCTCCATATCGTCCCAGTTGGTGACGATGCCGTGCTCGACTGGGTACTTCAGGGTGAGGATACCCCTCTTGCTCTGAGCCTCGTCACCCACGTAGGCGTCCTTCTGACCCATACCGACCATCACGCCCTGATGCCTTGGGCGGCCGACGATGGATGGGAAGACAGCCCTGGGGGCGTCGTCGCCGGCGAAGCCAGCCTTCACAAGTCCGGAGCCATTGTCGCAGACCAGGGGAGTAGCTTCCTCCTCTTCGTCGTCGCACATATTGACGGTTTAGTATAGGTTCTGTTGAAGAAGAAAGAAATGGGTTGTAGCAGACATTCGAACAGTGCTTATATTGTGCTGGTATCAATTCTAGTACTTAAAATTTATTGGTTTGATAGGTTTATCTGGATCAAAATATTAAAGGACTCTGATATTACCACGCTTGAAAACAAGTTTTGCAGAATTGCCCGCCCCTTTGCTAGGCAGTATATTCAGCTTTGGCTGGAAAATTTCTCTCGCTGGTTAAGCTTCTAACACTATAGGTGCAATCGTTATCGTTATATTTTCAGTATCCCCATCCTAATCGTTTTCAATTGGAGCTGGCAAACAAGATATTGCATAGCATGTTTACGAACCATGCAAATAGGACCATATAATTGACTGGGAATGAGGTTTTACTCTCACAAGCCGTTAAAGATCGCTAGATATTTCTTTGTCTCTCGTTACCATGTTTAGGTTGTCCTTCTTCCCTCCCACTGATACCCATTGCTCTTAAAAGACGTACTTAAATTGGTTTCTTTCGAAATTGTGACAGCACATGCTAGATGAATATACCGTAATGGCAGCCACAATCTTTCAATGCATTGATAAATTGTCTTTCTCTTTTGGATAACTAGTAACAACAAGCCCATGTGCACGACACCAAACGAACTCCTGGACGCTACTGGTAACATAACACAACACGTATACTATCAACAGTACCTGTGAGGTCTTGAACGAAACCTTCAGCCAGTTGTTCCAGCAAGTGGGTAACTCTCAGTCGGCTGTCGCCCGGTATTTATACGTTTAGCAAGGCAACATTTGCATACAAACTGCATAGCAGCAGACAATCCATTCTTAATTTAGCCGTGGTCTACATCTTGCAGCGTCAAGGAATACTTGTCAGTTATAGTAGCCTAATATGGGTGATATTTCGTAGAAGCTGTGGTGAAGGGGCAAGCCAAAGGTACGGATTGCCATGGGAAAGGTTACGAGTGACTGAGGGTAAGAACGTGCATCTCTGAGCCAACCTATGACCTGTTCGTATGGATCTTCTTCGTACTATACAGACTAATCGTGACATATGGCTACCATCATATTCACAGACTTTACTAAAACTGTTTTCTTATGATAAGGATCTTGAAGATGACATGCAGCCATCGTTTTGTTGATAAATCCTTAAATCTTAGACGATAATCTATGATGTTGATTTATAGACTAGACGTAAAATGATGCCGAACTCTGTTCTGTCCTGCTATTTTTACCTACACTTTGTTGTTCTTGTCACAGTGTTTTGAAATAATTCGTGTTGCTAGGCAAGGCTGTTTCTTTAGTGCATTGAGCTTGTTATCGTCTTGCTTATTATATCATTTATATTCACACAGCTTGGACAAGGTAGTTGTGACATTTGCGTTATGAACAACATGGCAGACATAGTCAGTGTACATCATGCTTTTGTCCAATGAAGCATGGTCATACTCTCGACGAGTGTCAGCAGATCTCTGTGTCTGACATCTATGGTTAGGGTGAAGAACATTGTTCATTTTGGCCATATACATTTAAGATACGGTTATGGTTCCTTGTCTACGGAAGTACTGGTTTGAGTAGCTATTCCCCAGTAATGACTGTTTATGATTGACATCTGCACGTTCCAGGACCAGCTCTTCTATTAACAACACGCGACAAAACCTTATACGTCACCGACTCTCATTACATGTGTAAACAGTCAGACGTCACAGCGAATACAAACAAATTAGATGCCTACAGCGATAAACTAAATGTGAAAATCTGTTTCTTCTGTTGAATTTTAGACTTCTCGGACTAGATGTCTTGAATGTACCACATCGTCATAACCACTAAGTGGCAATGGCAAAAGTATGATCATCATAAGTATTATGTATTCAGCATCTGAAATTACCACATACTGAATTATCCACATTTTTTTCAGATCAATACGTTCTGAGCCATTTGAGCAGGCAAGGAGTTGGTAACCAGGGGATATATAGTAGCTTAGAAATAAAACACGTCGTATAAGAATATTTGGGTCTGTGTTCAAAGGCGCTGTTGGTAAGGAATATTTGTATGACCTCACGTACTCTCATTCACCCAGTGACCGTACTGGACAGCTCCTGCTGCACGGGTGAATGGGGCTGTTTAGTCAGATCACCCTGTCCATCATCCCGCCATCCCAGTTATTTATTGTTCGTAACATACTTCCAATATCTGTTTGTCCTCATGTCCATAATTGGGGACTACTTCTCCGAAAACCGCTCATGCAACGGCAGACTTACCCGAAATTGTAAATTCCACAATCAGTACGTGGCTAAAGATAATGGTTAGTCATCTTTTCAAAGTCTAATTTCAGTATCTTGAGACAAGAGGACGTGGATATATTCGCTACAAGCTGGGAAACGGTACAGCCTTCCAGCATATGCATTGCGCATTTGAAAATCTTGTACCAGATAGCCACTGCTGTGCTACTAGTCATAGGGATATAGTAGTACTTGTAGCCAACACAACTCGGCGTATATATTTCATTTTGGAAAAGTATGATTCCCTCTTCCATCAGATGTGGAGTTGGGCCAAGTTGAACATCAAGGCCGTTTGGCTCATTTTCTGTAGCGGAAGTGATACACTCCCTTTTATGAATATGCTGGCCTTGTTCTTACATAACTAGTAGTAGTATACTATTAGTAGAGTTTCGCAGTTCTTTGTGTGGCACACATCCAGATCGTGCACGACAGATATAAAACTGGTGACGAGTTTTGCAACACTGCCAACAGTACACTAGGTTACTGTTGGAATGGGAGTTTATTGAGCCAGAAGCATGCAATTCGAGACTAATTCGACACAGTAATAGTGAGTATAATACTTTAGAAAAATGGTCTGAAACCTGCACAACAATGATCATCGGCTTGTGATGAGAGCTTGAAGAAAAGCTGTTAAGCTTTTAGATGTCCAAAATCTATATTTCAAGCCAAAGGCTTATTAAATTAGCAACCAAAAGTTAAAAACAAATAAGGCTGCATTCACCTAAAATTTGGTAGCGAAGGTGTACGTGCCCTTATGAAGCACATACAGCACATTGAGTGACAGGTTGGTCTAATCGAGGTCAACGGGGGACACATTACCGATGCTTATGGTGTCAGTTGAAAATTTCCCGCCAGAAATTTTCAACAATGCCTGCATCAAAACCTGAGACTCTTTGTATGTCTACCTCTAAAAGATTAATCACCTGCAGGTCCTTCACGCATCTACCCACCACTACCGAAAATCCCCAAGAATCAACATGAATCAATGAGAAAGTATGATTTCCTGAAACCTTGTCCATGGCAGCCTGTTAACATCCTCTGTACATGTGTTGCAGTGTGGGACAATACCTTGACCCCAGTAAGGGTACTGGGGGGGGGGGTAAAATGAATATCTGAGGACTTTCATCTCAAACATCATATGACATATATACCAACAAATGTTGGTATAATCCCATCATTTATGTGGGTTAGTTGTCGCCATACAGTCCTTTATAAAAGACTTATAACTTTGTTTGCCGAATTCGAAGATAATATGGCGAACGGTTAAGGCATTATCTACAAAACTATGAGAGTTTTCGTTGAACGAAGTTAGCAGACCAACTCAGTAATTTAAACAATACACTTGTGTAACCGGGAACAACCAATATACGGTACACCTGGTAATGGTATCAACTTGACTAAAATCATGTCTGCTGGACGATAGATCGCATTGAGCCAGCGAGTGCAGAAGACAACATTTCCGTTTTAAAACAGGCGCCTGTTCCTGGAAGTGGGTCCCAAACATGGCAGTCCCCACAGGGACATGCGCACAACATGCCATTTGACGTCAATCGTTGTAGGATCCGGATATTTGCTACCAATGCTTTCTAATTGTCATTGTATCTACTGTATTCAATACAGTAAAACATTTCAATGCCTTAATACAAAGGTCTCTTTCTGTAAATTATTTCGTAAGATCCTTAGCTGTTAATTTCGTCTATTGCTACATGGCCATTTGTTGTTAATTCAGGACACAAAGGCAATATATGAGTTATTTCTTTTTTGTTGTACATTATTTTGAAAACATCCTGATGTTAACTCAGTCACTGATGCAACCATTAGCTGTTAAACATTTTAATGTTTACGATGTGTACATTGTTCGCTTTACCCTGCTCAGAGGCGATAATCTATTACTTCAAAGAATGTGACAGCATCCTTGACGGATTACCAGTATATGTCATGCTACTTGAAGAATCCACTGAATCCTATTTGGGAATGTTCCATTCATTACAAATAAACATGTATCTTTGCATCATCTGACTGTAAGAATGTTACTTATTCACAGTAAAGCAGTTAACGTCATATCTTAATATTGTTAAAACATCGCATCAAACCATTTCGCAGCCGACATGCTTCAAAAAGTACACTTGGCCATACACTTTATGTGATGATGACAAGTTTATTTACATAAACATATACAAGTTAAAAGTCCATGACAGCCTTACGGCTGAATTATAGACTTCTTACAATTGTAAAAGCTTTAAGAATATTATAAATTCAGACTATCGACTTACAATAAAATATACATAATACAAAATCGACGGTACAGGAATACTAATCGTCCAGTATAGCACCTTGTATGTTACTAACTCAAGATCCGAAAACGTACATATCATTCAGGAACTTGGGCATGTAATAGATCGAGCTTATATGTCGAGAAATATTGACTGGGCTGTCATAGGCTGGTTCTTGGCACATGAACATAGAGATGGTGCACGGTTAAAACAGACAGAGGAATGGCACGTAAAGCATTGCAGAACTTCCACGAACAATGCGTATAATCCTTCACTTTCTACACCTTCACGTTATTCCGTTCGTCGTTAACAATTCCATCTCACAGTCTCAATTCCTGTTAAGTGCATAACGCATGCATGTGTGGATGGAGACTTAGGGTGGTGAATCTCGTCCAAGAATAGAATATTTTGTCGGTCAGACAAGAATGTCTGTAATACACAGGTGACATGCGGTTATAATTACAATCTTTCTCAGTACCTATATACGCATCGAATGTGATACACGCACATGTAGTATTTGCTAACAGGCACCATAGTTGTCTCAATGGTTGAGTTTCCTCGTTGACGTACACCTAATCAAGTCATTTCCTTACTCTGGTCCCAACACACAATACGGAAGAAAGCAGCAGCAACATAGGGTACACAGTACATTTACAATTCCCAACAGTAAAGTTTACATCGCTTAGAAGCACTTGCGGTGGACAATGGCGGGGCCGGCCTCGTCGTACTCGGACTTCTTGATCCACATAGCTGCGAAGGTGGACAGGGAAGCCAAGATGGAGCCACCGATCCAGCAGGAATACTTCCTCTCTGGAGGAGCGATGATCTTGATCTTCATGGTTGTGGGAGCCAGAGCCACCATCTCCTTCTGCATACGGTCGCCGATGCCAGGGAACATGGTGGTGCCACCGGACAGGACGTTGTTGGCGTACAGGTCCTTACGGACGTCGATGTCGCACTTCATGATGCTGTTGTAGACGGTCTCATGAACACCAGCAGACTCCATACCTGATTGAGACAACAGTTAAGTGGAAAACTGTTAAAATAGCCGCAATAAGGTTTATGACGAAAATACATCTATGAACGCAACCTAATATGTACACAAAGAAATGTGTATTCTTAGACGTACCAAGGAAGGAAGGCTGGAAGAGAGCCTCAGCGCAGCGGAACCTCTCGTTGCCAATGGTGATGACCTGTCCATCAGGCAGCTCGTAGCTCTTCTCCAGGGAGGTGGAGGTAGCTGCCGTCAACATCTCCTGCTCGAAGTCCAGGGCGACGTAGCCCAGCTTCTCCTTGATGTCACGGACAATCTCACGCTCAGCTGCATATCAAGAAAAAGATATGGTTTGATCACAAGGCAACACAAAGGCGTTATGATGCGAACTACATTAAATGGGATTTTTGGTAGCGCCGACGAAATCTTCTACTTTACATGGCGGTTGTTGAAATCTATATCACAATGGGAAAAATAAGCCAGAGACAATTAAAATAAGCTTACCCGTGGTGACGAAGGCGTAGCCACGGTCGCACATGACCCTCATCAGGTAGTTGGTCAGCTCACGGCCGGCCAGGTCCAGACGAAGGATGGCGTGGGGCATGGCGTAACCCTCGTAGATGGGCACAGTGTGAGAGACACCATCGCCGGAGTCCAGCACGATACCAGTCGTACGACCGGAAGCGTACAGGCACAGGACAGCTTGGATGCACACGTACATGGCGGGAGAGTTGAAGGTCTCGAACATGATCTGGTGGAGTAATGTGGAGAAACATTTTCAAACCATAAAAATCAACACATCTAAAAAGACATCTGTCCAATGTTTTTAAAAATCATTTAATATCATTAACAATTTCAAGTTCTCCTGAATCTCATGACATTATAGTCACCTGCGTCATCTTTTCCCTGTTGGCCTTGGGGTTGAGGGGAGCCTCTGTCAGAAGGCAGGGGTTCTCCTCGGGGGCGATACGCAGCTCGTTGTAGAAGGTGTGGTGCCAGACCTTCTCCATATCGTCCCAGTTGGTGACGATGCCGTGCTCGACTGGGTACTTCAGGGTGAGGATACCCCTCTTGCTCTGAGCCTCGTCACCCACGTAGGCGTCCTTCTGACCCATACCGACCATCACGCCCTGATGCCTTGGGCGGCCGACGATGGATGGGAAGACAGCCCTGGGGGCGTCGTCGCCGGCGAAGCCAGCCTTCACCAGTCCGGAGCCATTGTCGCAGACCAGGGGAGTAGCTTCCTCCTCTTCGTCGTCGCACATGTTGACGGTTTAGTATAGGTTCTGTTCAAGATGAAAAGAAAATGGGGTGTAGCAGACAGTCTGACAGTGTTTATATTGTGCTGGTATCAATTCTAGTGCTTAAACTCTGTCGGTTTGATAGGTTTATCTGGATCAAAACATTAAAGTACTCTGATATTTCCACGCTTGAAAACAAGTTTTGCAGGATTTCCCTTTGCTAGGCAGTTTAATCAGCTTGCTTGAAAAACGCTCTTAGGCTTACGAGTCAAAGCTTAACACTAAATGCAATCGTTATTGTAACGGTTATATTTTCAGTCATCCTAATCGTTTTCAATTAGAGCTGGCAAATTAGATATTGCATAGCATGTTTACGAACCATGCAAATAGGCCAATATAATTAACTGGTGAGGAGGTGTACTTTCGTAAGCCAGTAAAGATCACGCCCACTAATACACATGGCTCTCAAAAGATGTAACGTTACTTCAATTGCTTGCTTATCGAAATAACGACAATACATGCTTGATCTATCTAAATGATTTGAATAATAGTTAGTCTTTTAATGCATCAATACCATAGCCTTGCTGTGCTGGATAACTATTAACAACAAATCTATGTGCATGACATCAAACTAGCTTTACTAGCTGAGCGCTACTGGTAAAATAACACAACGCTTATACTATCAACAGTACCTGTGAGGTCTTGAACGAAACCTTCAGCCAGTTGTTCCAGCAAGTGGGTAACTCTCAGTCGGCTGTCGCCCGGTATTTATACGTTCAGCAAGGCACCATTTGCATACAAACTGCATAGCAGCAGAAAACCATTCTTAATTTAGCCGTGGTCTACACCTTGTAGTGTCAAGGAATACTTGTCAGCTATAGTAGCCTAATATGGGTGAAATTTCGTAGAAGCTGTGGTGAAGTGGTGCGGATTTTCATAGAAAACGTTTCGAGTGACTTAGGGTGACAACATGCATCTCAGACTTAACCTATAACCTGTTTCTATAATAGTTCATTTTCTTATACGGATTAATCCCGACATGTAACTAGCATTATATTCACGGGCTTTACTAAACGTGTTTTTTATGATAAGGATATTGAAGATTGCATACAGCCATTGTTTTGTTTACAAATTTTCACATCCGTATGTTAGACTATAATCTATAATGGCTATTACCCAGTAGTGAATGTTTATGATTGACATCTGCAATCCTTTCAGGAACAGGACTTAAATCAGCAACACGCGACAAAACCTCATAGGTCAACGAGTCTTATTACATGTGTAAACACAAAGACGTCACAGCGATTACAAACAAATTAGATGCCTAGCGATGAACTGATCATGAAAATCTGTTTCTTCTGTTAAATTTCAGATATCTCAGACCAGATGCATGAAATGTACCACATCGTCAAAAGCACTAAGAGACGATGGCAAAAGCTATGACCATCAAGTATACTGTATTCACTCTAAAAAGCAGATACTGAAGTCCACATTAACTACGTTATTTCAGATCAATACGTTCTGAGCCTGTTGAACACTGTGGTAGCAAGGAGTTGGCTTGTAGCTTTATAATAAAAAAAGACAATATGCCTCTCTTGCATTTAATGAGAAATGGCAGCTTTGAGATAGCAGCTTCAAAATAAAATATAAGTAGTGTGAGAAGATTTGGATCTGTCTTCAATGCCAAGCAATATTGCTAAGGCATATTTGTATCTCCTCGCGTACTCCCATTCACTCAGTGACCGTACTGGGCAGCTCCTGCTGCACGGGTGAATGGGGCTGTTTAGTCAGATCACCCTGTCCATCATCCCGCCATCCCAGTTATTTATCATTCGTAACATACTTCCAATATCTGTTTGTCCTCATGTCCATAATTGGGGACTACTTCTCCGAAAACCGTTTATGTAACGGCAGTTTACCCGAAATTCTAAATTCCACAATCAGTACGTGGCTAAAGATAATGGTTGGTCAGAGATTCAAGGTGTAATTTCAGTATCATAAAACAAGAGGACGTGGATATATTTGTTACAGACTCGGAAATTGTACTGCCTTCCAGCATCTGCATCGTGCATTTGAAAATCTTGTACCAGAGCACCACTGCTGTGCTACTAGTTATAGGGATATATTAGAGTAGCCAACACAACTTGACATACATTTTTCATTTTGCAAGCGTCTGATTCCCTCAGTTGTGGAGTTGGGCCAAGTTGAACATCAAGGCCGTTTGACTCACTTTTGGTAGCGGAAGTGATGATACACTCCCATTTATGATGTCCTTGCTCTTACATAACTAGGAATAGTATGAGTTTCGCAGTTTTGCGTGTAGCTCGTGCACTACATATATGGATATAAAACTGGTGACGAACTTTGCAACTGCACACGGGGAAATGGAAATTGAGCCAGAAGCATACAATTCTAGACTATAATGTGGTAGTAGCATTGAGTCTGGTACTTTAGAAGAAGACCTCGAAACTCCACAACTATGACCATTGGCTTGTTATCTGCAGCTTGAAGAAAAGCTGTTATTTGAATAAAAGCTTCGAAGTGTCCAAAATCTACATTTCAAGCCAAAACCTTGACAACCAAAAGTTACAACAAACAAGGCTGCATTCATCTACAAGTTTCAAAATAAGTTTTATATGCCTATTATGAAACACATAATGCACCTTGAGTGACAGGTTGGTCTAATCGAGGTCAACGAGGGTCACATTGCCAATGCCTATGGTGTCAGTTGTAAATTTCCCACAAGAAATTTTCGACAATTCCTGGATCAAAATCTGTAACTCTTATGTATGTCTAACTCTAGACGATTAACTAACTGTAACTCACGCATCTACGCACCATTACCAAATTACCAAAAAATATCAAAGAATAAACATCAATCAACGAAAAATTGTAATTTCCTAACACCTTGTGCACGGCAGCCTGTTAACATCCCTGTACATGTATTGCATACTACTATACTGGGACGATACCTTGACCTCAGTAAGGGTAGTGGGAGGGGGGGCTGTAAAATGAATATCTGCGGACTTAAGCATCCTAAATACCAACAACTGCCGGTACAATCCCTATCTGTGGGTTCGTTGCCACAATGCAGTCCTTTATAAAAAGACCGTTGTTTGTCAAAGATGATACGGCATGATGCACGAAAGTATTGCAAACTGGAAAGTCTTCACAGAAAAAATATACTTTCATCCTTATATTGAAAATAATGCTACAGAGACACGGCCGCGGCACACATGTATAACCTGGAAGAAACATTATAAGGTACACCGCTATATGATGGTATCCACTTGACCAAAATCACGTCTGCTGGACGATAGATCGAATTGAGCCAGCGAGTGCAGAAGACAACATTTCCGTTTTAAAACAGGCGCCTGTTCCTGGAAGTGGGTCCCAAACATGGCAGTCCTCACAGGGACATGCGCACAACATGTCATTTTACGTCAATCGATGTAGGATATTTGCTTCCAATGCTTTCTTTGTTATCGCATCTACTGTATTCAATACAAGAAAATTATTTCTATACATTAATACAAAGGCCTCTATTTGTGCATTATGTTGTATTTAAGATCGTTTATTGCAGCCACATGGCCATAGTGCAAATTCAAGACACAAAGGCAATAGATAAGTTCTGTTGTTTCTTCGTTGTTGTACATCAAAATGTCAACTAAAACATGATACATCCGTTAGCTTGTAAACATTTTAATATTTACGATGTGTATGTTATAACATTAACGCTGGTTAGATCAGAGGCGATAATCCATTACTTCTAAGAATGTGACAGCATCCTTGACGGATTGCCAGTATGTCATGCTACTTGAAGAATCCACTGAATCCTATTTGGGAATGTTACATTTATTACAAAATAAGATGTCTCTGTACATTATCTAACTGTAAGAATGTTACCTATTCAATAAAGCAATTAAAGTCATATCATAATCTTGTTATCGTTGTCAAGGATACAAACACTTATCGCATCAAATCATTTCACAGCCGACATGCTTCAAATAGAACACTTGACCCTGCACGTGGTTGTGAAATAATACTGCGACAGAAAAACTGTCTAGTCTACTCATTTTTCTATATTGATTTGAAGTTTTCGCCGAATTGGTGGTCTATATGGCGATATGTAAATGTTCTGATGGTTTATAAGGACGGACATCGACTTTAATCATCACCCATAGCTCCAGGCTTCTGACTGAAGGTCTCGAACGTTAAGAAGGTACGTGTACGTTTGTCCATCTGATGGGATCTACTTATCCCATCGTTGATATGTATCGTAACTGTAGCATGTGTATGGACATTTCTTACCGACCATTATATCTATGCGCTATTGTTGTCCGCAACGAAGAACTTCAATTGTTGGCAAGGAACATTTAAAGATAATGTCTGATGGCAATCATTAGAAGTATACCATAGTCGAGGCTCTACTCATTAGAACACCTTTGTTAACATCGCTTTCATTTCTTTTGTTTGCTTCATAGCATGAGATTGTTTTTCAATTTCTTTTTTGTAATCAGCATAACCTTCCGCAGTGGCTATATATCAAACTATCACCTTGTCGTAAAGGTCTCACATTGAATGGTCTTGTACGCCAAAGCTAATAGTAGCAGCATGTGCTTCTGTGCTTTCTGGTGTAGGACGCGAACATCCCTTGTAGCCAGAAAGCTTGTTAACCTGAGTAAACACATTGCAGCCATCAGTAAAGTAGTGTGATGTTATGCCACAAGGATATCCTTGGATGTAAAAGAACTACTCTGGTTAAATACTAGTATCATAATCGATTGCCGTCAATCTTTTGCACAATGTCTGCTACAGCCCATTTTCTTTTCCTCTTGAACAGAACCTATACTAAACCGTCAACATGTGCGACGACGAAGAGGAGGAAGCTACTCCCCTGGTCTGCGACAATGGCTCCGGACTGGTGAAGGCTGGCTTCGCCGGCGACGACGCTCCCAGGGCTGTCTTCCCATCCATCGTCGGCCGCCCAAGGCATCAGGGCGTGATGGTCGGTATGGGTCAGAAGGACGCCTACGTGGGTGACGAGGCTCAGAGCAAGAGGGGTATCCTCACCCTGAAGTACCCCATCGAGCACGGCATCGTCACCAACTGGGACGATATGGAGAAGATCTGGCATCACACCTTCTACAACGAGCTGCGTATCGCCCCCGAGGAGAACCCCTGCCTTCTGACAGAGGCTCCCCTCAACCCCAAGGCCAACAGGGAGAAGATGACACAGGTAACAGATCTTCACATTTCTCCTGTGTATTTTTTTCTACATTTTCACTACATGCTTTCCAAACAAACCCGTACAGGTTAGCTCCAAAGACCGAGTGGAACCATTTATCACTATTTTCCCCACAGATCATGTTCGAGACCTTCAACTCTCCCGCCATGTACGTGTGCATCCAAGCTGTCCTGTGCCTGTACGCTTCCGGTCGTACGACTGGTATCGTGCTGGACTCCGGCGATGGTGTCTCCCACACTGTGCCCATCTACGAAGGCTACTGTATGCCTCACGCCATCCTTCGTCTGGACCTGGCCGGCCGTGAGCTGACCAACTACCTGATGAGGGTCATGTGCGACCGTGGCTACTCCTTCGTCACCACGGGTAGGTGTCATCTCGTAGTTAGAAGATGCTCACCATCGTTCCAACATACCAACTACATCTAGTTTTAATTTGAAAAATTGGAGCTAAATAAATTCCATTTATTCCAATCTTAACAATTCCTCCTTTCTCCTGTACAGCTGAGCGTGAGATTGTCCGTGACATCAAGGAGAAGCTGGGCTACGTCGC